CCAGAAAAATTGTGTTCAATTCCACCAGTGTGATTCCAGCTTGCAACCCCACCTTGCAACTTGCCAGGCTGTCCTGCTGGCTTCACAGCTGGCATGGATCTGCCCACTTGCCCAAAGACAGCAAGCCAACTAGATGAATTTGATTTACATAGCAGTGTTTACAATTTCACTATATATATAGCCAGGGAAGACGTAGAAGAAGAAACAAAATTGCCTATTCAGTGCAGTTCTGAATTATTAATCTGACAGGAAACCCGAGTTTATTTGCAGCTGCTGCAAAAACTTTTTTGCCTTTCTCTGTAAATTATTCATTACCCATTTTGGCAGTACTGTCCAAGAGACTTGCTTCACTAACAGCTGTAAATCACTTGTACAAGACTTTCCAGGGGAGAAGAATAATCATGGTATCCTAGAAAGGTAAAGTTTTCTTACTGCCCAGAGTTCCAATGCATTTGTTGTACACTGTTACAAGGATCACCTCTAATGAGACAGGTAATCCTGTCTGTTCCACAGCCTTTCCCTGCTGCCTGCTTATTTAGGATTTTTTTGTATTTTGTCAATTCTACCCACAAAATAGCAGACTCTGAGTGATTTTTGTAGGACTGCTAGGAAGGCAAGGAATACTTGTATTTTGCAGTCAACAAAAATGGTAGGCAAAACAGAATTCCTCCCCTGCCCCAATTCACAGTAACTCCCTAAACTATTGCTGGAATTCTCAAGAGTTCCCAAAATGGGCACAAGTGGACAAGAATGAGATGACAGGGGGCTGGAGCACCTCCCATATGAAGACAAGCTAAGAAAGTTGGGGCTGTTCAGCCTGGAGAAGAGAAGCTGCATGGAGACTTCATAGCAGCCTTCCAGTATCTGAAGGGGGCCTACAGGGATGCCAGAGAGGGACTCTTCATCAGGGACTGTAGCAACAGGACAAGGGGTAATGGGTTTAAACTTAAACAGGGGAAGTTCAGGTTAGATATATGGAAGAAGATCTTTACTGTGAGGGTAGTAAGGTACTGGAACAGGTTGCTCCATCCCTGGCAGTGTGCAAGGCCAGGCTGGACAGAGCCTTGGGCAACACGGTCTCCTGAAAGGTGCCCCTGCCCATGGCAGGGGGTGTGGAACCTGATGATCTTCAAGTCCTTTCCAACCCTCACCATTCTATGATTCTATGCAACTGTTGCCTTTCTCACTCACCCACCCATGAGGTGTACCAAGCCTGCTGATTTGAACTAGCACTGACTATTCATCTTGTTCAGGGTCACATAAAGATACAGTTAAGTCCTGCTGATGCTCACATAAATCCTCTAATTTTTTAGTGCTAAAGGAGATAATTGCACCCCCCCTTGCTCCAAATCAATTAGTTTAATAGCTGCTCTACTCACTGTAACTTGGGAGAGGTAAAAATTAGAGGAAAATACTACTTAGGACTAAATGCATACAAAGATTACAATTATTTTAAGATCAATCAGAGACAGGGCCTAAAACATTAACAGTCTTCCCTCTCGATCAGTACTGCTGTAATCATATGGAGAACACACAGCTGGCTACACATTAGTTTCATTGTTGGGCTATCACCATTTGAAGGCTTTCACCAAGCTCCTCTTCACAGGGCATTTTCCCTTTTCTTTAGATTTGTAGACACATAGTACTTTGTAAAGAAGTGTGCGAAATGCAATTACTATATTCTGTTCTGTTTGTTTTGCTTGGGGGCAGAAAAAGTATAGAATGCTTTCATGAACTGTTGCTTTCCTTTATACATTGACCTTGTAAGACAGCAAAGCTCCTGATCTGTATCTTCAATAGTTCAAAGCATATTTTAGGACTGGGTTATATGTGCTTTCTACAAAGTTAAACTGAGACACCTTAACTGATGCTACTGGAAAAGAAGCAACATACAACATTGTTTTAGACCACATCTCTCAAATTACATACTTATATGAAGAAAAATTTGGTATACTAGGTTACCTGGATTTTAGAATCAAAATATACCTTCAATATCATCATTTGAGAACTAAATCACACAGATTAACAAACTGGAATAAACTTTAGGAATAAAATCTAAAGAACTGGTAGAAAGCAGATGAGATTTCATATTGTTGATCTTCTTCACTAATTTTATTACTGAAACTTTACACTTAGAAAAATAGCAAGTTTTCCACATTAAAACAAAATAAAACTAGTAGACCTGTCCTGTGTTTAGCTTGTTTATCTAGTGCAGCATGCTGCATACAGAAGCAGATGGCATCAGAGATATGTAAGAAAATAGTACAGGATACTCTACTGCTGGGAGAGGTGTGAAAAAAAGCCCTCTGAAAGTCTTCCCTGCTTTCAAGGTTAAATAAAGCATAAGTCTATATGGAATCCCTGTCTTATCAACTACCACAGGCTAGAAAATCCAACCAAATTCAATACTGTATTTCAAATTTTCATAAGTTCTTGGTGTCAAAAACATTACCTTGAAAGAAGATCTTGACATAATTCTCATTAAAATGCTCATCCTCATTTAACTGGCTATCCTCTGGTTTTCTGTTTCGAGACAGCTAACCAAAATTTACTGTAGGTTCTTCATGAAATTTCAAAGCTGTTTCTATTTTTTGTCTCATTTCAAATATACTCAATCTTGATCATTTTGATTTCTCTTCAGATTGGAGTCTTTCCGAGTCCTTCATAGTCCTGTTCAGTCAAATGCTTTCAGTTTTGCATGTAAGATTGAGTTTATGGAGCATTCTAGATGAAATTGTATCATGGATTTCCACAACTTTATTATACAACTCTCTGCATTATTTTCAACTCTATTCCTTCCACAGTGTGTCAACGTCTTAAAGAATAAGGGACATTGATATACCTATGTATTATCCATTTTGGGAAACTAAATATCTATGAAGTTATAGTTGAGAATATTACTTAGCTGACATTGTAATCATTCCCAGGTAATGTTTCTTCTTCTTAGCTTTGCATCAATGAAAAATAATGTTTAGGAATTGCCTCATAACAAAATTTTTGTATCCTCTGAAAAGTTGTGTGTTTCACATTAAGATATCCCAGCTATTTTAATGAAAACACAGAAAAGCTTATCAAGTCCAAAAATGCTACTTCATAATTAGATAAATTCCTAAAGCTACTTCAGTTTTCATTTTAATGCATAAATCTTTGCCCAATTCTGACTTTCACATAATGGTATAAATACGTATGTAACGCTTAAAAAAATCCCCACAAAGATGTAAACCCAATCTTGAAATTGGTTATGTGCCAGGCTGATGCTTAGAACATTAGAACCTGTTTATAAGCAGATATTAAAACCAGATACATCATCTTTTCAAAGGCATTCCTTAAAAGGATTACAACAATTTGTCTTGGGAAATATTTGCCTCATATTCATTTACAGTTGTTTTTAGAAAACAGTGCATTTAACATCTATTCTTTTAGCCTGCAGTGTTTTTGGGATATCACAGTTCTCAGAATTAGGTGATCATACCATCTACACTGCAATGCACAAATCAAAGACCTGATTGTAATATATAAAAATACATTACTGCACTCACATTCAGAAGTGTTAGGCAGGCATGATCAAACTTATTAACCAACAACTATGACTGTTTCACTGCTTATCTTGTCTTTCCCTCCCCCACCCAATTCTTTCAATTTGAAAGGCTTATGCCTTGACCAACCATATTAAATTTTGCTTTCTCGCTACTGTGTAAAATGGTAAAACACTTTTTGGCTAAGTTGTGGCTGTGTTTCAATACGGAATACAGTTGGAATTGACTCAAAATGTTACCCTATGTCTTCCTCTAAAGTGCCATTTGTTAAGCTGTTAGTTAAAATCCATATATTGCCAAAACTATTATGGTACCAATACCCTCCATTCAAGGAATTTTCCAGGTCTCCCCTCTGTTAACATTTTGTGCCTGAATTGGTATCTATCACTGAAGTTCGGACTGGGACTACTGACATCCTCTAGAAGGCAGACAACGTTTGTTGAGGAAGGGAAGTTTTATTTCCTAATTTTGCTATGTGAACATGAAAAAGGCAAACAAACCACAGTAACTGCTCTCAAAAGAACCAAAACTATAGTCTGAAAGAAGCTGATGCTGGAAAAATAGAACTGTACATAAAATGCTGAAGTAGCTGACAGAAGCTTTTTCTCCTTTGCACTTCCACTAAATTATGAAAGATTAAAAAAGGGCACAAAAATATTTAAGATATTATTCCAAAGGATTTCAGTGGAAATATTTTTTGTTGCCTTTGGTATTCCTAGTGATATGGAATCCTAGTGATTACATTTGTATAAAATGGGTAAATTTATTTATATGTTTCATTTGGACTTCAGATGAAAACATCCCCTAAAAGCCTGTCTTAAAGGACAGTTTTGATGCCATGGACCTAATCCCGTGCCATTTTGGAGTACCATACAGTTCTCTTCTATCAGTAATTCTATAGTTTCATAGCCTCGTTTGTTGTTTATTCTTCTATTAAAGACAAATGCAAGGTTAATTAGATATATTAACTGTGTGGTCCATTTATTTGCATCCTTTTTTTGAAACTATTCTGAATCAGCACTTGAAATTCTCAAAACAATTAACCACATGCACTCCTTGCTTGCAACTTTCTCAAATGAGTGTTTCCAACATTTCTGAATATAAATTTGGCAGAAAAAGAGAACGAACTTCACCTGAGGTGCTCATCTCATAGTAATGTCAGTCCTTAACACTTGAATTCTTATCTCAGGGTTCTTATTTTATTCAAAAGTAGAGAGCAACATGAATGGCTGCTGCTACTACTGCATTACTGACAAAAAAGTCAAGAAAAGTAGAAATCATCCTTGTACAACTGACAGAATACATATAAAATTAGACCTGAAGTTAATTAACTGAAAAAGCAGAAGACCTCACTGCAACAAATCATTACTATTTGGGAGACCCAGCAGATTAGCCTTGACGCATTCAGTAATTTCTCCTTTCATTATTTTTTAAAAAACATTTAAAAAATTACACTGTACTTACTGGATTGAGAACCACTGTGAAGAACAACTCTCCTCCTTGAATACTTTTGTCTAGTTCCTTTGGGCCTCCAGGATACTCTTTATAGAAAATTGTGTGGGTGAATAAGCCACAGGTTTGCCTAGGAAGCACCTGAATTTATGGGGTGGGGGGGAGGGTGAAGATGGAGGGGTGGGGAGTCAAGGTGAAGTCATAAAACAAAAATATTTATACTTTTAATATGATTATAAATGCCATATAAGTAACATATGACTGAAATTGTTCCTTTGTGATAACTGTTGCGTAGATTTGTCATCACAGCTTTGCCAGAAGTTGATCATGATCTAGTTGAATACACTGGCAGATCAATAAATAGCACCTACTGAAAGAAATAACATTTTATTATCAGTGAAATCATAATGTCCAAAAATTCATCACGTTTTGTTTGAAACTGGAGATCAATTAGTAAGTTGCAATTCAGCAACCTCCTAAAGCTATTTTGTCTGTAACACCTCATTCTAAAACCAAGTATTTGAAGTCTGGTCATCAAAGATTTCCAAAATCTTAAAATAATCTGAAACATAATCTGAACTATTACGAACTATTATCAGTCCATATTGTATTGGTGTTTTGTTGTTGGGGTTTGGTGGGCTTTTTTTTTTCGTTTTGTTGGGTTTGTTTTCTTTTTGTTTTTTGGCTTTGGCATTACCACCCATAATAATTCTACAGTGACACATGATGAATTTTGCAGGTAATGCTCACATAATAAATGTGCTTCTCATTCAGCTGTGCTAAGTTTTGTAAGGCCAGCTGCAATATAAAGTAACATAAACTAAAATATTTTTTAAAGTATGCAAACAACAAGTCTTTTCAATAGGAAGAGCTGATAAATGCACGTAGGTTTTCCAGCAGAATTAAAAAATATACTCTATCAACTTCAGATAATAATTTGCTGAAGACTACTTCAATTATGTCTATTTTTCATAGAAAATCAACAGCTAAGTATTGCTGTTCATGTATAATTATCAACCTGGGATTGGTCTCAAATATTCTAGTCCAATTTAAGACATTCATTATATTATAGCTTAATTTTTTAAAGTATAAAAATCCCTTACTTGACATAGACTGTGGTTTTGTAGATATTCTTTTATTTCTTGTAGTTTAATTTCTCAACATTTTTGTGATGTACAGTATACTGTGACCATAGATCATGAATTCTGCATTGTTACAAAATGGATGGAATTTGTACATTTGCTATAAACTTGTAAATACTTTAAAACCCTTGGATTTCGCTGATGAAGTATGAGAACAATTCTTCACAGAGACGGAGAATGAAGCTGTACTGAATGTGAAATGCTCTGGGAAATCTTACACAACAGTTTTACTGAATTTATACTGAATATATTCATCACTATAAGCCTGAAGATGTAAAGTATTAATGCATTTGCCCTGGAGAACTGGAAGCTTCAGATTCCCAAACCAGGTGGTTTTATATATGGCTGTGCTTAGAAATTGATTTTTTGTCCTGGTTTCCTTGTGTTAAATCTCATTGTGAGTCTTCAAATTACATGTTTTTACAAAAAACTTATAAAAGATATTTTGGGGCATTCCGAGTCCATCAGTTGTCTTCAAATGCTTCACAACTCTGAGCATATCCACAAACCCACTGTTTTACGTGCAGCTATTGCTGTAACTCAAATCTATATATGTCAATTTTTTTCCTGGCTGTCTGGAGGTCATGTTAGTTTGCTTCATCCAAAAATTGAATATTATTGTTTTGCTTAGAAAAGAGGTATCCCTGGTAACTTGAGGACAAGACCACAATTCTGTTATAAGCCAAGTGGCAGTCTTGCACTAAGATACTTGACCCTCCAAAACTGCTTGCTTAGAAAAGAGGTATCCCTGGTAACTTGAGGGAGGACAAGACCACAATTCCGTTATAAGCCAAGTGGCAGTCTTGCACTAAGATACTTGACCCTCCAAAACTGCTTGGTGCAGGCAGAGGTGTAACACAGTATACACACTAGGATCTTTCCCATTCATCCCTTTCCCCTCTGACTCCAAAAGAAAGTCACTCAAGAACACACCGTCCAGTATTTTGGAAAGTTGTTTTGAAACACTTCTCAGACAAGAATGACAATATGTGAATCAGAAATAGCCTATGCCCTGGTGACCAGATGGTATTGGCATAGCACCTTCCAGAGTTGTGCACAACCCCTTTTGGCAAATGTTTCTGTCAATGAACAACGGTCAGTACAAATACAGAAGAATTGTGTGACTTGACTTGTGGCTACCTCAGCAAGGCAGCTTCATAGCCTGGAGAGGGGTGTGGTGCATGTCTGCCGGCTTTCCTTCAGCCTTCTCAGTGTTTGCCCTGCATCCAGACTGAATGCCTGGGCCCAAAGGATAGCTGTGAGGTTAAGCCACACTGCAAAGCACAGTTCATATTTCTGCACGGCAGGAAGCAAAACAAGGACAACTGTACAATGTTCAATGCAAGAAAAAAGTACTTCTGCACCAAAATCAAGGTTCTTAGATAGCACAAACTTACAAAACTCTTTTGCAGTTAATGGTACTATGCAAATTTAAAACCTGCTAGAAATCCAACCCATAGTATTTTGTTAAAAGATGGAAAGTTGACTATTTCCTCGAGATGTCTGAACATGTATTAACAGTAAGATCAGAACAGTTAGCAGCCTGTTTACTGTTAACAGTGGGATGCCTGGAGGCCACCTCATCAGCAGTAACATCATCAACAACAGACTGATTTTAATCAACAAGATACTGTGAAATGTATCTTGCCACTTATGCACAGCAATATGTGCCTCTTATGACGTGAACTTTCAGGATACCATGCTTGTCCACTTAGAAACAAGTTCTTCATAAAATGGTAGAGTGGTGGTAATATGAACATCATAAATACAACTCACCATGATATTTTTGTGGATGAAGCCTCGCCTATATCGTGCAGGCTTTAGGTGTGGGTATTCTTCTGTGCTGGTAACTCTGATATTCCAGACCTTTTTCCAGGCATCATAGAGTTGAACATGTACTGGGTAGACTCCAGAATGGTGTGGAGCCACTGCATAGCCCAAATCAGTTGGAATACCATGTTCCTAAAACATAGCAGAACAATCACTGATTTAAAAAATTTAAGGAACTTCATGTTATAGCATTCCTTGAATCCTTTGTTTGTGAGAGATCAAGGTCTGAAATGCAAATAATGGTGATATCAAAATATGCTGGTATATAAGGGAGATGGAAGGCAGCATGGTAAGATGAAACACAGGATTTGAATACAAAAGCCTTTTTAACAAATATTTTTAAGTATGTAAGGAAAAGTGATATAGATGTAGTTTATGCTGATTTCCTCAATCTATATTAAACAGAAAGCAGCACTCCTTCAAGTTTTTGCAAGGAATTTACTCACAAACTAAAAAGAATTCAGAGAGAAAATTACTGGCACATATTCAACACAACAGGTGGCATCTGGCAGTTACACTTACAAAAGTGTGATTTCCATTACACAATTACTTGCATTGTTAGCTTAATTTCATAGAAAGTCACTGCATTTCCTCTCTAGTCCACTCAAAACATAAAACCATATTCAAACCAGCTTACCCATGTTAGTGCCATTTTAAAAAAGGAGAAAATATAACCACTTGTAAAATTCTGAGGATAACAGGCAGATGCTGTAGGCAGGCAACCCCTTTTGTAGTACACTATCTTTCACACTCCTGCACCCATCTTGTTTACATACAGACCTTGCTACTATTACATTTTCTTGACATTCAGTGTATTTTCTTTCCAGTTTCTGGTTTCCAATATACTCTAATGAATTTCAACACCTTGTCTCCTTTCTTTCAGGTTGCTTTTCAAAAGAACAGTATATAGCAGATATTTCTTTGATAGTCTAATTTGCAGAATACACTGTCCGTAAGATCACAGTATCACAGTATGCTAGAGATTGGAAGGGACCTCGAAAGATCATCTAGTCCAATCCCCCTGCCAGAGCAGGAACACCTAGATAAGGTTACACAAGAATGTGTCCAGGCCAGTTTTGAATGTCTCCAGGGAAGGAGACTCCACAACCTCCCTGGGCAGCCTGTTCCAGTGTTCCCTCACCCTCACTGAGAAGAAGTTTCTTCTCAAGTTTAAGTGGAACCTCTTGTGTTCCAGTTTGTACCCATTACCCCTTGTCCTATCATTGTTTGCCACTGAGTAGAGCCTGGCTCCATCCTCGTGACACTCCCCCTTTATATATTTATAGACACTAATAAGGTCACCCCTCAGTCTCCTCTTCTCCAAACTACAGAGACCCAGCTCCCTCAGTCTTTCCTCATAAGGGAGATGCTCCACTCCCTTAATCATCTTTGTTGCCCTGCGCTGGACTCTCTCCAGCAGCTCCCTGTCCTTCTTGAACTGAGGGGCCCAGAACTGGACACAATATTCCAGATGGGGTCTCACCAGGGCACAGTAGAGGGGAAGGAGGACCTCTCTCGACCTACTAACCACCCCCCTTCTAATACACCCCAGGATGCCATTGGCCTTCTTAGCCACAAGGGCACAGTGTTGGCTCATGGTCATCCTGTCGTCCACTAGGACCCCCAGGTCCCTCTCCCCTACACTGCTCTCTAACAGGTCGTTCCCCAACCTATACTGGAACCTGGGGTTGTTCCTGCCCAGATGCAGGACTCTACACTTTCCCTTGTTATATTTCATCAAGTTATCCCCTGCCCAACTCTCCAGCCTGTCCAGGTCTCGCTGGATGGCAGCACAGCCTTCTGGCATGTCAGCCACTCCTCCCAGCTTAGTGTCATCAGCAAACTTGCTGATAGTACACTCAATTCCCTCATCTAAATCGTTGATGAATATATTAAATAATACCGGTCCCAGTACTGACCCTTGAGGCACTCCACTAGTTACAGGCCTCCAACTAGACTCAGCCCCATAGACTAAAACTCTCTGGCTTCTCTCCTTCAGCTAGTTCGCAGTCTGTTGCATTGCAATACAGATGTTGCAATGCAGATGTTGCATTGCAATGATTTAGGAAACCTGCCTTTGCACAATCTCTTAATTCTGTGTAAGAGTTTTTTATATGGATTGTATTTGTCTGGTCATCTTCACTGTATTTTCTAATCATACTTTCTCTGTTCCCTCTTCCCTCATACTTTCTTTGCGCACAAAGGTAAGAGTTGGTTGATACTCAGGTCTATTCCTTTGTATAAACTAGTTATTAAGGAATATGAAAAACTCTAAGTCTTATCTCAAAGAAGAATGGGTGCATGACCTTTAGTAAAATCACCTTTCTTCACCTTTTCTGGAGAAGGACTACTGCAGGAAACCTAATGCACAGGACTTAAAAGCTTAAATAGTCAGGATACGATATCAGACATACCTGTTGTAATTTAAATATGACAACTTTACTGACAGCTCAAAATAAAACAAACTCACAAAGAGGCATTTGCTTCTGCTCTGGAGTAACATGGGAAGTCAGACTTTAAAGATGTGAAACCTGCAAGGGAAGAAGGCTACTTTTTCCTCATTAAAGGGCTACTTGGAACCTAGTGTAATGGTGTGTCCAACAGACAGATATGGTTTAATCACAGTTGAGAACTCTAACTTTTTTGTATCTCAACACCCATCAGTGACCCTGCTGCACCCAGGGAGCACATCATCTGCTGGTCTACAGCTGGGGCACACTATGTGTAATCTGTCAAAGTAGGAAGGAGTAAGATCTGGCCTATTGGTTTTACTGCATATGGAGATAAAGAATGGATATGCCATCAGTTACACAGCTTTACACCACTTTATTCCACCACAGGTTGTCTCAATTCTTTCTTTTATCTTTTCTACTTCACTTAAGCATGCATAAACATTAGAAAGAAAAATCTTTACAGAACATGTAAGGAATTGTGTTTTCTAATGTCCCATTTAATCTTCTTCATGTAGCGAGAAAAAAAATCTGTTTTTTAAGGGGTTTTCCCTCACATTTTTTAATTACATATTTATTACTGCATATTGTAATCTTCCATTCTAATTATGAGCCTATGATCTTGAATGTATTATTGTCTCTGTTACTCTTTAGTGACTGCTTTTCCCAAGTTAAGCATTTCATACACATTCAGTCTGATAATACATGAGGCATACACAATTTTAGCCTCTTTCAAAAAAGCATGATACTTATCTTTGTTATTAATTTAAATGCTTTAAGTAAATGAAACATAATGAATAGCTTCATGTCTATATGTCTATATATATCTTCAGGCATGAAAAGCATTTAATGTAAGTATTAAGAACATTGAGAGTGGTGAAGAAAAAAAAATTATGACATTACCTAAAACAGGGCTGAATATGAATTATCCTAATAATATACTTTAATGCTTACATCGTGTAGACTAATCTCAGAAGATGTCTTAGGTCACACTAGAACTACAAGAAATAACTGAATTTCCAGTGGAGCTTGCAACAGTACACAGAATCATAGACAAAAGGGAATTTTAAACACAGAATTGTTAAATCTTAAATTTTTATAACTTCTACTGCAATACTTTCTTTAAAGATAACATTAAAATTGAGGTGGCCTGTTCTCAGTACAACTACAGTTTATAGTACTCTTCGGTTGAAAGAAAACATACACCTTACTTAAAGCAAAGTTTCAAATACAAATTTTAAGTGCTTGATTTTCTATGTCTATGCCTTCACCCTACATCCACTGACATGTGACCATAAGCACACTTTATTTTGTTCCGGTATTTCAAATCCCCTTGCTCTTTCAAGGAACAAAGTCATGACCTGCCATGTGAAGAGCAGCCAGTGCATTTTGAAAAGTGAAAAGCCAAATTAGCGTGATGGAACAGTAGACATATTTCAGCAAACAAGTTATGTTTGCTGAGATATTCTGATACAACACTTCTTAATTTCTTTACATATGACAATTTCCTCAGGCAAATAATATGTAGTATTGTGTACGGCAGTCTGGTTTGGTTTTAATGCATGAAAGAAAAGGTAAGACTGTTTCTCTAGCATCCTCAGACCTAAAGGTAAGTCTGTTTCTTTAGCATCCTCAGACCTAAAGGTACGGTTTTATTTTCCTATATTCTCACTAATACTTTTTTTTTTCTGTGAATAAATTATTAGTAAAGGCAATGCTTTTCAAAACAGGTTCTTATAAAGTTGATCCAACAGGAATATGTAAGATCTTATCCTGCATCACCACAAAAGAGCATCTTTGAAAATACGGCACATATGTCATAACATGGCATGTTAACCCTAACATGCAGTATTTCCATAAAGTCATTTGACATGTTTTGATGGAGTGTTTTTTCCTGCATAAAAGTGGATATTTTCTAATCTAAACAATGGCTTATTTCAGAAAAATATAAAATAAAATTTTTGTCTATATTGACTTTCCAAGATATGACCATATTAATTCTTCATTCTGAAAGAATGTTTCCATTCAAAATTTTTCATAAAGTAATAAAAAAAAACCCTAAACTTTACTTGAGAAAGAAATCCAAACTGTAGAGAAACAGAATTTTCATAGCACAAAACAGACTGCAAAAAGCATTCTATCATAATTTTTTTTCGATTCACTGAGATTAAAACAAATTCTACAAAGATTGATTTTTCTAACAAAATAGGAATGTTTTCTGAATACCTAAATTCAATATAAAATACAAAACCACAACTCACTAAGGCAAATTTTTTGTTGAGGATCATCTGCTCCACCAGTGACGACTCATTGTGGAAGAGGTGAGGCTGCATGTGACTCCACATATGGGGAAACCACCAAAACTCATCCGCAGATCTCAACAGCAGGTCATCACCTTCATCTTCTTCCTCAGTCCCTGAAAAAGGAAAAAAAAGGAAAAGATAATACCTCTGAAGTGGTTTAAACCCAGTTGGAAACTCAGAACCACACAGCTGCTTGCTCACTCCTTCTTCTTCCCTCTCTTTTCCAGAGAGGCTCTGTAGGCGCAGGCCAAGCCCCAGCACATTGTGGTCATTTGTCCCTCTCTGGTACTGCCAGGACAACAGCACACCTTGTCTGACTGTTCTGCTAATTTTTCTAGATTTCACACTTGTTCAGAGGAGAAATTCCAAAGCACTGGAGGGGCCCACTGGCCCAGGTGCTTGCTCATATGATCCCACACACCTTGCCACTCATGACTGTCCAGTCTTGGCAAAAAAATCTCGTGGTGGTCCTCTCATATCATCTTTTAATCTTAGACAAGACCCAAGCCCAACCCTGCTTAACTTTTGAGATCAGATGAAACAGAGCGTTCTCAAGGTGGTATGGCCGTGGGTAAAACACATGCTGTATTTGTGACAACATGCTTATTCCCAGCAAAAGCATCAGGCAGGCTTCAAAAGGCATCCAAAGGATATCCAAAACCTTTAGAATTCTCAAATGCTGCTGTAAATAGCCTGGCAGGGTGTGAGGGAATGTCTCCTTTGTAGGCTGACCCCCCAAGGAGGAAAAAAAAAGATGTGTAATTGCTAAAAATTCCCATTATATGCTTCCCAAAATATAGAGGTGACCACCACACTGAGAAAGCATGCCAGCGTCATGATCAATTGTATTACAAGTCATTACCATAAAGTACAGCGAAACAAAAACTTTAGCTCAGGCCCCAAAGCCAATAAACATTAAAACAGCAATTGCTGGCTGCAAGTAAGGTACAACATGTTGAAGCTCTGAGAGCAACCACAACAACTCTGAGAGCAAAGAAATCAACATTGTGATGAGTGACTATTAATCCGAAACAATGAATGCTTATCCCAAATACGATCAGGCACACTCTGGTCAGATCTGTTGTTAACTGTTACAGCTGAACAGAGGACAGTATCTACCCCTTATTGCATACCACTCACGTCATGCTCAGACCCCTTTTTTTTTTTTTCCAATATACCATTACTTTTTGTCTCATACATACACATACACCTATTATGAAGGAAATGCTTCTCTCTACTCATACCCTTAAACTCTGTTTTCCTCATATTACAAAAAACACCATCAAACCCAAAGCTATTTTAGTATTTCAGTCTTACCTGTGTGATAAAATTTCCCTGAAAATCCCAGGTTGAAAGTAAAATTTGTAATTTGAGCTCTCAAAAGATTCTGAGTGTCAAGCAGGGCCTGAAAAAAAACAAACCAAAAAGACAACAACCCACCATATAAACATATGTGTAGGAAACACACCTGGCACAAATTTAATATAACAATATAGATACTTTTACAGGTAAATGTCCTTTCAATTGCTTTAGCTATTTTAAAACAGCTCATTATATATGACATATATATATGACAACAGATACTTTCATTGCCGTTTAAAGCTTAAAAACTACATGCAAACTCCATTGTTTTCCTCATAAAGGTGACCAGCTATTAAATATTGGTTTACTCTTTGAATCATGAAATGGGAAAACAAAAGCACACTCCAGATAAAAGATCTTCCACTGATGACTCAGTAAACCTGGGATACAGCCAGGAATGAAATTCAGATCTCTTGTGCCTCCAGCTGCTGCCCCATTCACTAGGATGAATAGGTAGGATGACCTACAACTGTATTTTTTTATTTCAGGTCAAGTACATACATAGCATTTTAGTTATGTTTCAAAATCACTGGCAATGAAAAAATTAAAAAATCCAGAAAGCTAGATGAAGCCTATTCCATATCAAAGAACTTAATCCTAAATTTCCCCAAATTCTGAGTCATTTCTCACACATTTAGCACACTGGCTGTCAGCATACGTATACTTGCACCAGATTAGTACAAACATGCATGCAGGAGGAAAGGAGAAAGCTATTATTCATCAAAGTAAAGAGTCAGAAAACTCTGATCTCAATACGCTCTTCTTGATTTGTTACTCCCAAGATTTACATATTGTTTGCAAGAGTTATTACCTCCTGAACTCTTACACCCTGCTGCTGTTCAGTTTCCCAGATGTAACAAAGAAACCTACCTCTCCAACGCAAAATAAACTTTGCAAAGCAAAACCAAAATGGATGCACAAAAAGCATCCTCTAAAATGAGACTTGGAGTGCACCTTTCTCCAGACAACCTGCCTTCAGCTGAGCACTTGATGGCTGGTAATTTATGAGCACATTGGACTCTGGAGATTTGTGGCACTGAACACAGCACATCAGAAGTGCACGGCCAGCTACAGCGAAAAGACACACTTGTGCAGATAGTTATGCAGTACTTTCGAAAGAAAAGAATTATACACCAAAGTTTTCAAAGTCAACATACATTATAGTACAGCGATCACTGTACAAGAAGTGATCATAAGTATTATTATTGTCAGAAATTACTAACTAGGCATGTTAAGAAAGGGGAACATATTTAAAAGCACAAAGTCACTGGAGATTTTCAGAGGTTTAAAGGTCTAGAAGGTTCCCCACTCCTGAAATTCAATGACAATTTGGTGTTCTGAAAAATATGAGACAGCAATTTAAGAGTTTCTTTGGATATTTCATTATATGAATAATTTGTCTACAATTTTCTTTTTTTAAACAGGAATGCCCATGAAAACAAAATGTTAGCATGGAAGTCAAGCCCAGCTTTAGATCCAGGCATAGTACAGTCAACTTACAGTTCTTTAAAATCACCCATTTTACAGATAGAGGCAATATCCACCTTATCAGAGAAACTTCTGGGCACATGAGCTCTTCTTGAGGTCTTTACCAGGGCTCACCTGTATCAGATGTAATAAAAGTACTATCTTAATCTGCCTGTTTCCTTATAATAAGATACCTACAACATGATGGTGACCACATCAGGCAAAGGGTGACCGTAGCAGGGGCTCCCCTGTGCACTAACCTCAGAAAAAGCCCAAGGCAGCACACCCAGTGGTGTTTCCATTCCCAGGAAGATGTGGCCACACACCACTGCTGGTGCATATGTTCCAGTTCTGTGCTTGATTTTCCCACCACTCCTTTTCCAGACCTGAGCATTTTCACCTGGCCCCGCTGGCAGACTGCAGCACCAACCAGCACAGGAATACAGATGCTCTTTGGCCCTCTGCTAGCGTGTATCTGAGGCCTCAGAGAACTCGCTAAGCTTGTAGCTAGGGCTGGCTCTGGGAAGCTGGCGCTTGAGGGAGCTGATCTGATGCAATGGGACAGTCATTTGTCCCTATCCTGGGGGACTGCAAATTTGGATTTTGCTTATAAAACATGAGTGGTTTCAATTCTGAGCCATCAGTAGTACTTGCTTTGTTCAGTATTTCAGTGAACCAGAATGCTATGCCTAAGCATATTCATTAAATATATATTAATCAGAAAACTAAATCTGTGAAAGAACCATCATTTTCTGCCTCCTATTTCTTAAGGTTATCTCAGATCTGGAAGCAACTTGTCTTTCCCACTGTCATCTTCTTCACTGTAGCTCCAGCAACAAGAGTACAAGCAGTTTCAAAGCACAGTACTGGTAACATAAAGATCATCTTTCACTGGAAAGCCTGAAAAATGTCCTATGACTTTCTAAAGGAATGACTAAAATGAAGCACAGAATGGAGATAACTGAAAACAAGTATGAGACTTCTGAAGGAAATATTACGAGAAAAATCTTGCAGCACTGTAATGAGGGCTTTTGCTCAGGCTGAGAGTGCAAAGATCACCCAGGAGACTTCTTATTCTAATGAAAGGTATGAAACCACAGAGGATTATGAAAACCATCCTTGAGCTGCTGGGAATTAAGTAATTTTTTATCTTTGCACACTTAAAAATGTAGGAAGCAAATAATATGCCTATATGATAATGTTAACCATAGATACTGTCAACTGGAAGGAATCCTGAGAGCAGCTTGACAGCAAGGTGGCATGAATGGGCTGCATGGTTCTTGCCCTCCTAATTAAGTAGTGTGAGCATTTTTTGAGCTGAAGGTCTTCTCCTGTACTTAACACATTCTCAGCTTGCCAGCTCCAGTCTAGTTTCGGCGTGATGGAAAACCAAAGAGCAGCTGAAACCAGAGAAACACAACCTGGAAGACTATTTTCACTGCACCTCCCTAGCATACTGCAGCTACAAGGCTGACCAGACAGTTGCCAACCCAGGCTTTCAAATGGAAGGTGGGAAAACGGTTGCAAAAAGTCCATAATGCAATATGAGAGTTTACTTCTTTGCTGGGATCTAGTTTTGCTAGTGTAGTTACCTCCTTATTGCCTCAATGACATGCCTGGTGGCTGCATTTTATTCAAACCAGCAGTCACAAGACGACACATCAAATTACACCTAAATAACACAAAACTTTAAACGAAATCTGAAGTTCACCTTCTACAGAACAAATTTTGAAAGCGACGCCACTGTTTATTTTGGCCACATTACTTTCATTAAAATCAACAGGAGATCTTCTGGTAACCTATGCGGTGGTATGTGAAAACCTATTGGCTAATATCAACAGTGTACCTGCTCAATCTGCACAGAGTGAGAGGACAGGCCTGCTGTGAACCAGTTTTTGTACAGACAAGCTGAGATGACATTTGAGTTGTCATTCCTATGATTATTCTCTGGGTGACTTGACATTTTACTCATCATTCAGGTTCTAAAAACAAAATGTTAGAACTCATGCAAAATATACAGAAGCAGATGGCAGGGCCTATTACTGTGAGTTTCTATCATAAAGACAGAAGCAGAGAAAAGTAGGGGGATGAAAAGCCTGAAATTTCATTTTTAAATGCTGCTTGATACGCTGAAGGTAAGCTGGTGATATTTTCTGTGTATTTTATGATTGGTTTATGAACAAACCCCTCTGGATATTTGTATGAAATGTTATGTAAATACATTAATACTGAAGATTATATTTTAAAAACTTTACTAAAGCCTTCATATGCTTATAGATAATTAATTAGTACATGTCATACTTCCACTGATACTATAAAGAAAATAAATTGCTGGCTGCCTAATCACTTTCATGTACACAGCTACAGAGGAGTAAGTACTTTTTAACTCTTCTTAAGCTCACATAGTAGGTTTACCAAATTCCTTGTGCCAGAAATCAAATATGAGAATTCAGTATATGATGAAAAGCCCCCTTCTTCACCAATAGTCCAAAATAATCTCAGAATCATAGAATCATAGAATAGTTAGGGGTGGAAAGGACCTTAAGATCACCCAGTTCCAACAGCCCTGCCATGGGCAGGGACACCTCACACTAAACCATGTCACCCAAGGCTCTGTCCAACCGGGCCCTGAACACCCCCAGGGATGGGGCATTCACAACCTCCCTGGGCAACCCATTCCAGTGCCTCACCACCTTCACAGTAAAGAACTTCTTCCTTATATCCAATCTAAACTTCCCCTGTTTAAGTTTTAACCCGTTACCCCTTGTCCTGTCACTACAGTCCCTAATGAAGAGTCCATCCCCAGCATCCCTATAGGCCCCCTTCAGATACTGGAAGGCTGCTACAAGGTCTCCACGCAGCCTTCTCTTCTCCAGACTGAACAGCCCCAACTTTCTCAGCCTGTCTTCATAAGGAAAAAGGCCTTGTTACAATCCAGGCAATAGACAAAAGTTATCCTGACAGCAAAACAAGAGTTCTTTCAATCTTTCCATCTGACAAGTTTATACTATAATGAAAGGAATGTAAGAAATCATGTCTGTTGTAAATAAAGCCCAAATCTCAGACAATTAGCACCATGCCATTTAAGTCATTTGTTTCACTTCTGAATAAACATCTCAGCAAATGTAAGCTGCTGTAATTGCCAGTGGTATCTCAACTGACTGAGAATTTAGGAGAAAATGGACTCTGAGATTACAAATATAACAGAAGGAACCGTGAGAATTATTCCTTAATTGGAATAGCCATGCAATGGAAATATATGTAAATTCCTGCCTTTGTAACGATGGCACCTTCCTTTCTTGACAATCGTAATGTTTAGCTCTTTTAACCACCTTTCAGTCAGAAATATAAACTCCGTTTACAAAGAAAACAGGCCTTTTTGATTTTTCTTACCTTACAGATGGGACAAACAGAGGCACAGATCAATGACATGGGCTGTCAAGAGCTCCTGCTCAAGTAAATCAGCAGTAAAGCCAAGGGTAAAACTCATCAGCAACCTTGCTTTCCATTTCCCTATCCAGGAAACTGTCCTGCCTCCTGTCCTCAAGCATCTCTTTACATTATTTCATTTCATAG